AAAGAAGTTTTGCGATTTAACCCCTTAACACTCGTGCTCGTGCCTCGAAAAGTGGAATTTTATTTAATTATTTTCTTTCACTTTCCACATTGCGCTGTTTTTTCTATTCTATGGCGAAAATGTGAGGCACAGCATTAGAAATGAACGGGAAAGTTATTTCTATAGGCTTAGGAAATAGTAAGAAAGAAGTTTTGCGATTTAACCCCTTAACACTCGTGCTCATGCCTCGAAAAGTGGAATTTTGTTTAATTATTTTCTTTCACTTTCCACATTGCGCTGTTTTTTCTATTCTATGGCGAAAATGTGGGTCACAGCATTAGAAGTAGATGGGAAACTTATTTCTATACGCCTAGGAAATAATTAAGAAAAAATAACATTGATCATTTGTGGAATATCCAGTTGAGAAAAATGTGAGCGTTAGGGGGTTAAAGCAAGGCTGTACATTTGTGACTCGACTTGTCAAATTTCTGCTTAGAATCTTTTATTTAAGGGTATCGAGCTTCTATCACCTTCTGTTTACTAGTGTAAGAGACTTGGAAATCGAGGCAAGGTAATTCTTTGGAAAGTAGCTGTGTATGATTACGCGAGACGCTCGGTTCAACGATTGAGAAGCTGATGTCCTCGCCAAAGGGGCCAGAGTGTTGAAACGAAAGCGTAAATACATTTGAAATCTTGCTCGCGCGAAATTTCCGTTTTGGTCAAAATTAACCTACAATTGTCACCAATCAAGGTGTTAAAAATTTTTTGAAAAATTCTGCAATGGAAAAATTAAGTTGACTTCTTATCCAAAACTTCTTCCCTATCGAATTCTTCTCGAATTTCTGACTTCGACACCTGACACATTTTTCGATTTCCATATGTCGCTTCGACCGACTATACCTAGAAACGTATCTCGAAACAGAGTAACGTTGGTCAATTGTTTTACCGTTTCTTCGTGAAAAATAGGCGTGTTTAAGGATCGACGAGTGATTTTCTCGAGAACGTGACTGAGTTGAACGACCGCGAAAATCAGCTGGTCCAGATTGCACGCTCGAGAGAAAAGCGTTTTCCATGAAAATAGATGGGTGTTTTTCACCGCTGGCCTCGCAGCGTTCGCGTAGATTTTATAATTACCCACAAAGAGAGTCTGGAACGCCGCGGCAAATGGAGCAGACGGAAGCGGAACAAAGCGGGTTGTAAGCGTATGCCAGACAACGCGAGCCGAAACCTCGACGACCGGTTAAAAATACAGTTTCGATTCAACCGTTCCGAATGGTGAATCAGTGTTCGAGAAGTGGCTATTTCTGGCGATTGATCGCTACTCCAGATCGAAAACAGTCGCGTTTACTCAACGATCGTTCATACTTACAGTTTTCTTCTCTGATCGTTTAATCGATCGCGAACGAAAATGAACTCGTCGCTTGAAGAAATTCTTTTCTCTCCTCTCTCTTTGGATTATTCGCGATTCCCAACGGTCGCAATGAATCCTACTTCGTTAAGTTCCCCGTTCGACGTTTATTCACTCGTAAATCTCTCCTCTGAAAAATTGCTTCCCTTGTTTTAACGCCGGCAGATTTCCCGGTAATAACGTACAAATTCGCACCTCTGAGCTTCGCCAATTAATACAGTTTAAGGCTGGACGGTTGTTGTTAACGGCGAATAATTGAAGAATCGTCGGATCCTCCCTGTACAGGATCGATCGGTTCGACTCGTTCGGAAAACCTTCTTCGTTTGTGCTTGCGCCTCCGGTGAATCTCATTAGAACGGAGCCAGGAGGGTATCGATACTCGCATGTACACCCGATACAGTCGCGTGTGTGCCATAACTGGCCACGTATGGATATGTAAGAACATATATCCAATAACACGCACACGCACGTGCATGTGTGTCACACGTGTATACGTTCTGCGCGAGTAAATGAACCAGTTCTTATGGTGTTAAAGAGCTGCGGATACGTTTTTATTCGAGAAATGTACAAAGGGCTACTTTTTCGAGAAACGTAGAAAAATGGGGAAAACAGTTTTGGGATTGTTATTATTTCCGAGGAGAATCACTGTGAACTACCGTTGCAATACAAAATTATTTTATTGTACAATTACAAAGGACTACTTTTTTGAGTGACCTAGAAAAGTATTTTTGAGACTATTATTATTTCCAAGGAGAATCATTTAACCTTCGTTTTAGCGCAAAATAATTTTATTATAGGATTATCAAAAGGGTTACTTGTTTTTAGTGGCCTAGAAAAATATCTTTGAGATTATTATTATTTCCAAGGACAATCACTGTGAACTACCGTTACAATACAAAATTATTTTATTGTACAATTACAAAGGGCTACTTTTTTGAGTGACCCAGAAAAGTATTTTTGAGACTATTATTATTTCCAAGGAGAATCACTGTGAACTACCGTTGCAATACAAAATTATTTTATTGTACAATTACAAAGGGCTACTTTTTTGAGTGACCCAGAAAAATATTTTTGAGACTATTATTATTTCCAAGGAGAATCACTGTGAACCATCGTTGCAATACAAAATTATTTTATTGTACAATTACAAAGGGCTACTTTTTTGAGTGACCCAGAAAAATATTTTTGAGACTATTATTATTTCCAAGGAGAATCACTGTGAACCATCGTTGCAATACAAAATTATTTTATTGTACAATTACAAAGGGCTACTTTTTTGAGTGACCCAGAAAAATATTTTTGAGACTATTATTATTTCCAAGGAGAATCACTGTGAACCATCGTTGCAATACAAAATTATTTTATTGTACAATTACAAAGGGCTACTTTTTTGAGTGACCCAGAAAAATATTTTTGAGACTATTATTATTTCCAAGGAGAATCACTGTGAACCATCGTTGCAATACAAAATTATTTTATTGTACAATTACAAAGGGCTACTTTTTTGAGTGACCCAGAAAAATATTTTTGAGACTATTATTATTTCCAAGGAGAATCACTGTGAACCTTCATTTTAGTATAAAATTATGAGTGACCTAGAGAAATACAAAAAAGTATCCTTAAGATTGCTGTTACGTATTTCCGAGAATCACTGCGAATCAACGCCTACTTTTTTGAGAAACCTAGAAAAATATAGAAAAATATATTTCCTTCGAAATTATTACTTGACAAGGAGCACGAAGTACAGATTTCATCGAGGACCACGTTGAATCAAGCATCGTCGGACGAGAATTTCGATTAAACTCCACGCTGATGCGTTATTAAAAGTGAAGAAGCTTATTGCGTGTCGCGAGAAAGTTAATCCAAACTTCTCGAAACCCAGAGAAGCGTCGTAGATCACCAGTCACGCTCGAGGTCAAGAGACTCCTCGCTTCGTCGTCCTTCCCTGGATTCGGCGGATGCATCTTGCCGTAAGAGAACTTGAAAGGAAAGCTCGCCGTGAAACGCATCCAGCAGGCAGGCAGGCAGGCAGCACCATGTTCAATAGGCCGGCAGATTCGCCTAGAAATGGAACACCTGGGCTATTCTCTTTGCCATTAGCGGCCGTACGTGAACGTTGAATAGTTTGTTAAACATTCCCTCCTCTCCCTTTAAGTACGATCACTTTGAGCCGCTGCACAGCTCGGAAACTTCCATTTGCGGCGTACCACCCGGTATAACGGTCAACGCATTAATCAGCGGCTTTAACATCGACGATTGATTTTCCCGCTCTGCCTGTGTGTGCAATACAATCAATTTACTCACCGGCGGGAGGTGTGTAAATCACGTATGTAGGTTACAATCGAATAAAAAATCTTATCTCGCGAAAGCAGGTTATCGTATCTTCAACTAATAATTCCTATTCT